GTGGCACAGAACAAAAGTATAATAAAGGAAAGACTGTACATGACAAAAGATATTTCCCATCAAGCTGTAATAGGACCTTCAAATCTCCAGTTTGCATTATTCAGAATCCTGGAAAATTTTGTTTGTTTTGAGTTCAATAGAACTGTTCCAAACATGATACTTGGTAAGAATAAATGTGGATCTAACCCATAAAAAATGCTATGAATCGTTATAAGAAATAAAAGCTTTTTTAAAGAGCTTAAAGTGCATCAATTGTAGAATTTATGTTTAACAGAGTATGTCTCAACTGATAGGGACAGAAGACATACTGTGTATACTTTGCTTGTCAACTTTGCATGTATCACTTGAACAATGTGTCTGCATTACTATTATTTAGGCAGACCTTTGATATTTGTAAAAAATTACATTTGTTTTCTTAATCTTTCATTTGTTTGGTTATCCTTTTCAAAATTAATTTGGAAATAGATTATTTAATTCAATGGGAACCAAACTTTTCAGCCAAGAAAAGAGAAAAGAGATTTTGAGAGATGTTCCAGGAGACTGCAGTCCACCAAGAAGAGATGGGTTTAAAAGAAAAAATAACGATGCTTGATTAAATTTAACTAACATTTAAATTAAATAAAATCAGTATGGTTACTTCCCCAATATTTAAATATTTAAGAATTTCATCTTTCTGTCATGTTGCAAATTCTAAGTCACTGGCAACTTTTTCAGTGGGCTTGGAGAAACTGAGTTTGATGGATTCTTATGCTGTATACAGTTAGTAATTGCTATACTTTAAATTTGCACACACACACACCCAAAACCCCCAATGCCATGAAAAGACCAGGTTCAGCAACCTCTATATATTTTGGAATTATGCTAGTTCTATAGTCCCCGTGGCCTGCTATTCAAGATAGCAGTGGTAAGGTCAATCAGTACATCTGATATCCAAGCAATTGACTTCCTGGAAGCACTCTTATAACTAATATGGGTACTTTTTCAAAAAAAAGCAACCAGAAAGATATGGAATGATAGATGTGAAAGAGTCTGAATTTCAAATCAAACCTCCTATCCTACAGTATACTGTTAGTAACACTGTCAGTCAGTGCAGAAAGGGCAGAGGGGAAAAATCCAGGGAAATGTTTTGTTGCTAATGTTCTGCTGCATTGCCATGTAAAAAATAACAGGTCTATCCAAAAAAAAGCAACCAGAAAGATATGGAATGATAGATGTGAAAGAGTCTGAATTTCAAATCAAACCTCCTATCCTACAGTATACTGTTAGTAACACTGTCAGTCAGTGCAGAAAGGGCAGAGGGGAAAAATCCAGGGAAATGTTTTGTTGCTAATGTTCTGCTGCATTGCCATGTAAAAAATAACAGGTCTATCTGGCATAACTCAAAGTAATGATTTTGTCTAAATAGACCTAAATCAGGGATCAAATGCAATGAAAATTAATTACTCTTAATTACAATAGTATTATTTTGATTCTTGGCTCTAATTCTTCATGTTCACGGCATGAAGATGGGATTGCCCAAACAGTGATTAATCTATCCTTGAAATTTCAGAAACAAATTAAAATGCTTGGCACCAGGGACAAGGAGAAGTCATCAGCAAGGAAGTAGCTGATCCTTCTTAGTGGGATAAATTGGTGTCCAAGTACGTGCAGTAAATAACTAGCCATCTCCTCCCAAAGGAAATGCTGGGTCAAACTTTGTTTAGCTCATCAGCATGAATCATTTGGAGGCAAAGGGAATAACATGACCCATGGCTGCATGTTGTGAACATCATAAAAGCTGCAGAAGAATCATTTCTCATGTGTTACTGAACCTCACTTTCTCAGACTTCTCTAGTTCACATCCATCTTTATTAGGATTCCATCCCAACTTAAATTTTAAAAATCATTCCTATCACCAATTATTCTCCTGTCACGCAGCTGCCATACACTTAATGGTGTTGCTTTAGCGAAACAAAAGTAATATAATTTTGTGTACTGGATAAAGATCTTTAGAGTACATCCAATCCAGCTATTAATGATGGACAATCTTTTTTTTGGGGGGGGGTCACCATCCACATTCCTTCACTAATAATCTGGTGGGTGGGGCTGAACAAGCAGTGAATGGGACAAGAGCCAAAAGTGTGTGGGGACATCCATTCTCTCTCTGAAACTTCTTTTACCTTCTTTCCAATGCCCTCTTTGTTCCAGGCTGCACCAAAGGACAGAGGTCTCAATTTGCACAATTTTTGAAATTAGGGCAAGAGCTGTGTAAAATTAGCCTGAGGACTGGGTGTAGCCCTAAAGGGATAACCTGGCCACTTCCTATGTAGAATCTATTCAAAACAGTTATGATTTTCAGCAAGTCCATATACCCCCTTTTTTTTTTTTGCAGGTTCATGAACTGGATGATGGTGGGGGTGGACCAGTCTCACACCCTTCTGCCTAGTACTGCCAGCAATCATGTTGACACTGTCAGCAGGCTGTTGCTGAATAGTTCAGTCTCAAATATGCCATGACTCAGAAAGATGAGGAAGTGAGGCCTTGTGGCCAGCCAAAACAAAGAAGCACAGGCTGTTCTGCAACATAATTAAATCACTGCAGACCCTTTTAAAAAGGGAATTCTAGATGATGGAAATACCTCCCTCATTAGCAACTTGCTAACATAATCGGGCCACCTATGTGACAATTTGAAATTGCCCATCTAGAGCTCTGGCAAAAGAAAAAGTCTGTATGTGAAGCGTTGACAAGATTAACAATCTTTAACAACACAAATTAAGAGCCCCTATACAGGCTTTCTGTAATTCTGATTGTAAAGGGAATCTATACTGTATTACATTTTGTGATATGGTTAGGGTTATAATGAAAATCAAGTAATAACACATTTAATAAAATAAATCAGTGGCACTACTATCACCCCTATTCATTGTTTCATGGGAAAAGAGTTTAGGATTTTCTTTTCTTTTTTGCACTATCCATGGTGGTAAGATCAATATCATTATCCCTATAACATAACTTCATTTATTCCAGAAAACCCATCTTTCAGGCAACCCAGACTTTTAAAGGTCATCATATTCTATGACTCCATGTTCAATCAAGAAAATTCAATTCTGGTCTAGTTCTGTTGAACCTAAAGCCAACCCAAG